TATTATGTAACCTAGACATTGTGAACATTTTTTGTAGTTTTTGTAAAACATATTGATTTTATCCCTTTAAAACCATATAAATAAGCAGACTATGAATACAACACGAGATGTTGCAAAGCTTTCAGTCCTGCTATCCCTGTAGGTCAATATGAAACTCTGCTCCACATGAAAGCACTGCATCTATTACCGGGGTAGTGTTGCCACAAGGGTCTCTGGTCCCATGCCAAAAAAAGTCTGCAGGTTCTTACAGGTGCCCTTGCTGCCCAGACAACACAGGAAAAAAATACATATACCAACTGGCAGCTCTGGAGGAAAGAGGGGGTGGGGGGAGGGGAGTCGGTGAGCCCCCCCCCCCCCCCTTCAACACCCCCCCACCCCCACTTTACTTCACAGATATCTCCTTCTCCCAATCCCAAAAACAGTTAACCAACAAAACGAGACAAAATCAAACAACTGTTTTTATATTCGTTTCCTACATTCTAAAACTACAGACTAAAATTTTGTCGTTGTAATCTGACAAAATCATCTCAAAAATAGCAATTATTTTACAACAAAGATGGGGTTCCATATTCCAATACCCTAGCCATACCTGCCCAGTAGAGTAAATGATACAGTATCTAAATACATAAAATAACACGTGCAAACACTATATCTCAGTTTACTATAAGCTTCTAACCTTAGGTATAAAGCACAGTACATCCAAGTTTTCCAAAGCTATGACCTGCATAAAAAGTTCAGTATCATCAAAGATATCCACAAGCAGTTTTCCCATACCAAACACTTTCTACATTATTTTATTTTCTTACAATCAACATGGAATGACTTATAAAATTAACTTAGGATGATAAATATAGGGAAAAATAAGAGTTCTTCCAAGAAAAAGGGATAAAATGGGAAAATATACTTGACATGTTACTAGTCCAGAAGTCAACCAAGTCAATTATCATTTTTTCTCAGAAATAGTCCTCAAACAGTTGTGACTATTCACACATGTCAACTTTTTACACATACTTATCTGGTGTCACACAATATAAAAAATAGAACAAGAAGAAAAATAAGGATACTTGGTCATGATTTCGAAAGAACAGAAACTGTTATCTAAAGTTAGGTCCATCTTTCAGTCTTGAAGTTCTTTTGTGATTGGTGTATAGTTCCACTCATGCAGGTGACAGCTGAACAGTTTTATTACAATTCACTTGTAAACAGATGTTATATATTCAGAAGGGTAGATTCCTGCTGGGCTGGTGAGATTTTAATGGATATAATTTCATTTTAAATCCTTCAGAAAAGGGTTTAACCCTGGGAACATGTATTAAGTTTTCTCCACCTACTCCTACTACAGTTTACATCACAATTTGTGGTATAGTCGTTTCATCATCAGTAGGTTTTTATACACAGTTATTTTCCATCGTGTCAACCTTTTTTTCCTTTAACAAATTGTTATTCTCTGTATGTTCCAATCATATGTAGTTAGTTGTTTATTTATTTTCTTAAATAAACTCTGCAAGCTCAGAAGTGTTGTTGGTTTTAACCCTGGGAACACATATTAAGTTTTCTCCACCTACTCCTACTACAGTTTACAGCAATTACTTACTAAATTTGAACAACATTAAAAAATCAAAATCTCAATGACCTGATGATAATGCCTGGAAAATACCACTAGAAGATGTCAGGAGGTACATGACTGAAACATAAAAATTTTATCAAAGTTTGAGCAGCAAGTTATCTTTCTTGACATGATAACATGGCACAAAAGGGTTATCCAAAAGTTTTGATTAATTGCTGTTCTTACCTCCACACATAAAATATATCATGATTATATGTAATTCTTTTGTTTGTGTGCTAGCATGTCTATGTCTCTGTGTATTACAAATTTGTAACAAATTTTAGGTTGGACTACAATATCCCATAACCAATCCTCTGATAATCAATAAATAAGCAAGAGCTATTCCAACTCAAAATTGCATGGAAAATCACATTATTTCAAGATTCTATACCTGTGAAATGTAGGATGGATAAAAATCTCTCCCAGAAGAACTGATGTCAGGAGGTAGATGATTGAAACAGCAAATTGAATACAGCAAAGGGAAACTATGGGATGAAATGTACTTCTCACAAAATTCTCAAGATTTGAGAAATATAAAGCCATATCAATATTACATCTTACCATTTAACAGGAAATCTTTTCCCTTTATTTATTTATTTAATTTTTTTTTTTTTTTGAAGATTCAAGTATCTAAATTTTAAGTAGCATTTGCATAAATTATGCTCTTGGTTTTATTTCATTGGATGAACATAGCAGTATGACTAAAATGAATGGGTTCCCCATTGTATTAGCATTTACTTTGATCTACATGATGATAATATCTCAATATGCAGGCATTTAACGCCCACACAAAACCATAGACTACATGCTACAATATAAAGCATAAAATGTGAAGCACATTCAATGATGATATAAAACAAGGAATGCTGCTGGCATTCAGTCAAAACAGTCAGTCTTCAGGTTTTGTTGGTGGAACACTGCTGGATTTTTTGGTCAGTGTGAAACACCATTTTAACAGTCCCCATTTATTCTTACTATTCTCCCCTCCCCCCCCCCCCTCCCCAGCTCCAACCAAGACCTAAGTCTGACATCTAAAAAATATATCCCCACACATAAACATCAAGGATAAAAGAAAATTTGCAATAATCCATGTGAGGTGCTTTAACTTTTAAGAGATAAGGTTAAGATAACGTGGACTGTCATCTTGGAAACAACAGAAAGTGACACACAAAACATGGTGAAACTGTACAAAAGACTTTATGATTCTACATAACTTCAGAAAAACAGAAAAATGTCTTTAGATAAATTCTGTCAGCTTTTATTCATTGCTGCACCAGATTTGCTTATCAGCAGTTACTTCTGACCTTACTTTCCATTAAATCCTACTTGATTTTACACCGATAATATTTTCAAGTCAAGTAAACTATATTTTTCATCACACTTTATATTAAAAAAAAACAAGCTTTTAGACACACGAAAAGACAAACTGAAATATTGTACAAACATTTAGAGTTGAAGAGAATAATTATTTAAACAAATTGTTAAAAATAAAAAGATAAAAGCAAATATAATAAATAAACAGATAAATGATAAAAATGAAAAATAAAAAAATGTATCCATCCATTGAGATAATGGATTTTTCTATCAAGAAAATGAATAGTCTTATCTATTCTTCCTGTTTTCTTGGGATACATAACAAATGTCTCCTTTTCTTCTTTCAATGGTGCTCAATGAAATATCCCTTTTAAATTAAATATATATCCTATAATAGTCACCTCTTTAACTTTCTTCCCTTGACACAAACCTGTTACCATTTAGTAAATCAAATTCTCTCACTTGGCTCTAATCACTCTGACCTATAAATATGCATAGCTAGAGGTCTTTCTCTCTAACCATCTAGTCTGTTATTTAACTAATCTATAGCCATCACATATCTCTCTAACTCTCCTCACTCACTTTCCAAGTGACCTATCTCATGTTATCTTTCCAGAGATCTATCTTTTCCCCAATGAATATATTTTACCAAACAAATCCCTTCATCTACCCTCTTTGAGTATCTTTCAATTGATCCTTTTCCCCTTCATATATTTGCTCATTTGGACATAATTTATTAGTTTGTGACCTACGGAAATTGATCTCACATAATACATATCAAGTATCCTCTATACCCATTTAATATTGCTTATTCACTTATTAGACACTTGGTAATTTCTATGCTTCTATTTCTATATTGAATTGTTGTGGCTTTTCCCACACATATCTGAATCATTTGTCTAGACTATATATACCCTGACCTAGTGAACAGCTATAGATTGCATTCACTCTGTCAAATTATATTCCTTTTTATCTGCATGGGCCTATATCTGCATGTACCTTTCTTATCTATCCATTCTTATATATCCTCTCTCTATCTACTCTCTTCGTATTTACAATAATCTCTCTCTCAATTTTGTCAATTTTTTTTAAAACCAAACCTTCTAAACATACATCACCCACAGCATTGAAGCAGACTTACAGAATCTTCTCTATCAGTGGAATCTGGGTCCTTCATTTTGCTCCATTTTCTGAAACGATGTTTTGAGGTCTTGCCCTCAGATCCTGTCTTCTTCATTCTGAAGAAATTCATCGATTCCCACTGGACGCAGCCAACGCTTGGATCAATAAACCATATCTATCACACAGCAGCGTGCCATGTGCTGCTTATTCTCTTTCCATAGTTTTGTGTGTTAGTGTACATATATAAATATATCAAAAAAGATGCATAACAAATTAAGGAGATGGGGATCAGAAGTAGTAGGTCCCTTTTAATCTTTCCCTTTCTTTCTTTCTTTCTCTACCTCTCAAGCTCTCTCTCCCCAATGTCAAATCACTGTGGTGTTTCTCATGTTCTCAAGAACAACATTTCCTATTAGTTTGAACTCCAAGCAGGCTATTCACTACGGCTGCCTGCTGTTGCAGCAAGCGCACAGGTCTCAGGTTTACAAATCCTCCTCCTTATAATTACAGATATCCTATGCAGAGGTTCAATACTACCACTCAATGCTTTATCTCCCCTTTCTCACTTCTCCCACTTTGATTTGAATTCGACTGCAATAAAGTGAATAATCAATGGAGAGGGGTCGCAATATAAATATCCCAGTGATTTTAATATCCTGTTGTTATGGTGATTGCGAGTTGGTGGAACATCTGCTAAGCCAGCATTTTCCTTTGCTGCTCACACCCCCACTGACAAGCCTGCTTTGACTCAGCTTGGCTAAGGTAGCAGGTTTCAGCAGAAAGACTCTCTCAAACAGATGAATGCTCTCTGCAGTGTATTACTCTCTACCACAGAGTCTTGCCTACCTGACAAATGCACTCCCTTTGATAGTTCTGCCACACTAGATGGTGTTTCAGTATACATATACTATATACTATATACTATATACCACAGATGTCAAGGCATATGTACTCTCTTAAACAGTTAAACTGGCTGCAACATGCATCAGGTCATATCTTCTGATTACTAGTAAATGTAATCTACCAAACTAAGATTTTTCCAAACATTAAAATGAGCTTTTTCATTGATGTTTATAACTCAGCCCCCCCCCCAAAAAAAATGTGCTTCTGTTCTTTCAACATAAAGAAAAAATGCTCACTATAAAATACCTAGTCTTGATTTTTAATTCTATTCACATTCCTTGATGATATCAAGCTAATCAATGAAGCAGATGTTAAATGTATCCTGGTTTACTATTTGAAGGCAAAGGAAATTACTTTCCTTTGACCAATTTCAATTAACATTAATCCAAACTCAAAGCCTTGGGTGTATTCACAGCTAGACTGATTTAGAGCACATTCAGAACAGCGGACTAAGGTCGCATTCACAATGAATTGACCAGGCTTTACAAATCCTGGGGACTAAATATGGCGGACATACATGAAAGAAAAACCGCCTAATCTTTTAATAGTCTCTCCGCCTCTCACACGCCTCCCCATGTGTCGTCCCAATTGAGGCGAGATTAATGACTGTCCCCCCGCAGGGACGACGTGTGGGGAGGCGTG